TAAGGGAGTCAAGTTTCATTAATAACATCAAGTAATTTAATATGGTAAAATTATTGTTAGCAACTGATCCTCTTTTTATCAAAAGAGAATATCATTCCAAATGAAGATTTTATTATGGAACTAGAGAGTCCCGGCAAAGCACTTGTTAGAGGAACTCTTCGACTGAATTTGTTAGTATAAGCACCTTTTCCGAAGTGCGCAAACAGCTCCCTCATTTGCTTAATTCAGTTAATTGGGGCAAAGAAAAAGAAATTGCCAGGGAAGCGAGGAAAGCAAAATTTTTGAGCGAGCCAGAATGCTGGGAAGAAAAATTTAAATAATAAAAGCGGTCGACACGATAAATGACAGAGTAAAAGTGCGATCGTTACTGTCAGATGCATGTACCGTTGGCAAAGAAAACCCGTTATTAATAGCGCAGGGGCAGCCCGGAGGCTTCCGTTCAGAAATAATATATTGTGACCTTTTGCGGTGACGCTACCGAAAATGTGAAACTTGGCCATAGAATGCCTGACATGCTCGCTTGCTCCACGCTTTTAGCTACAGCTAAAGCCCAACAACGCTATTTATATGCGTTTCAATTATGAGCTGAAAGTTAAAAGGTTTAAAAGAAGTATTAAATAGAAATATGCCACATTTAATTTATTTATAAACTGAAACCAATTTGTTCCAGGTTAAAAATCGATTACCGCAAATTTAACGATAGTAATATTCTATTGACACATCATGATTTAGAGATTGCCAGCGCTAAAATTTTAGTACCTTTCCCTTTCAACGCTTTTCTTAAGAGGAAAGGATGGGAAGTGAAACTGGATTTGACGGTGGAGAAGACGCGTAGGAAGGGGAAATGTCCTCTTTAAGTGCGTCTCCTCCTCAGTCAATCAAGGGTAGACAACACATATGCAATTGTGGATGTTTATGGGCAGCGGTTGCTTTCCATTTGGTGGATCAGATGGCCACTTTTTTTGTTCGCTTACTCGTTTGCCAAACAATATTATAAAAAAAATAAAACCCGATTTTAGTATCGGCGTATGCCTTGACATTTAAGATTGTCCCTTTAATAAATAAGAATCTGTATATCTTAAGTGACATTATTTATAAAGTAAAAGTAAATAGCTTTCAATTCTATGTAATCATTAATGTAACGTGCCAGCAATTCTCTACTATAATTTGAACTGGAGCACCTGCGTGTAGCAAACGCTCGTTACAATCGTTCCCACTATTTAATGTTCAATTATGATTATTGCTTTCATTGTTTTAATCGTATTATTAGAAACTACAAATTAAATTATTAAAGTATATTTAATCAAAGATTTATTAACTTTTATACAGATTAAAACTTTTACTCAAATTATTAAAATTAACAACATTATTTTATTTAACAACTTTAGTTGTCTTTAGAATAACAAATTAAATCAAGCTGAACAAAATTTGAAAAATATTAAACAAAAATAATATCGTAATACGGCATGTTTTTATAACATCGCCAAGGACATTTGTAGGAATATGTTTTTTTGTATTATTTTATTTGTATAAACGTACTCGAGAAGGTGGGTCGTGTAAAAGTCGCTGGAAACGTATTCATATGTACGTAGATAACATGGCTTTCAACAGTGCCCCTGGAGCTCTCACGAAATTAAATATAAATAACATTAAGGGTTCGTGAGGTTAGGGAGTGGAATTAAAAAATAATAGTGCTTCGGGGGAATCGTCATGTCAGATTGAACAGAAATGTAACTTTTAATATTACATCATCATATTTACTTTAGTATGTCGTACATTTTTATTATGTTTCTTAAATTTATTCACATCTATACTAATATTTCAAAGAGAAAAACTTTGTTTGATTGTAATGGATAGGCTTAAAAACTACTGGGCCGATTTTAATAATTCTTTCACCTTTGGAAATATTATTTATCCGTGAGTGACATAGACTACATTTCTTTATTATTATTTTTAAATTTCATGCGGACGGAGTCGCGTGTAAAAGCTAGTATCTAAATGAAGAGGGCAAATCTGCTGTACTTCAGAAATGATTATTTAACTGTATTATTTATTTACTAATATTGTAAACATTGGGCTTATTGTTTTTCTCATAAATTAAGACGCAAATGATTTACAACTCATTGTTTTTAAGATATATTTTACAGTGAATTTATTCAATGTTTTCAATTAAAAACCTAATAAACGAACTGTCGTTACAAGTAGAAAAATCCTCAATAAGCTACTACGGTATGAATTAAAACAATTGCCTTTGTAACACCTGACACCTTTTGTCATTTGAAACCCGTCAACTGCGAACAATAGTCCCTTAACAAAAACCACATCTGCAGTTACTATTGAGATCACCTGACCCGCTAACATTCAAATATGACAGAAGATATTTGCCTCGTTAGTCGGGATTTTGAAGACTGCAAGTGCTCTTGAGGGACTTCCGTCCTTGGGATAATTTCAACGGATTTACTATAGCGTGGATTTGTAAAGAATGTAATGATGTAGGGAATCTATGTACATTACTCTTTTATACGCGTACGGTTTTAATTTAGTGCTGTTTAACTATTGTAATGAATATATTGCGTTATTAATATTGGACAAATACATTGTTATTATTTGGGACTTCTGTGTCGCTCTTAGTGGTAAATAGCTTTTGTAACCGTTATAGTAGTAGTTTTTTATATTTTCTTTTTTGCACTCTCTTTTGTTTTACGGTCATTAAATTTTTTGATGCATAACTTTGACTTATTTTTTCAGATGATTTTCTATTTTATAAGTTACATTAATGACTTCGGAATTTCGATGAGCGCCAGTCACATAATATTCATCAGATGAAAATGTTCTGAGAGCTTTACCTTTATGAATTCGTTATTAAAATCTATTCTCACTTTGTTATTAAGAGCGTACATTGATGAAAATTTAAGTGCGTCTCAAAATTTTTAGGTCGAGCCTGCCTTTTAAGTAGGACCAAGCATGAATTTAAATAAGCTTTCAACATCGACTTGAGAGTTGCATAAATATTAATGTTCTGCGCATTGCAGGCTAATGGTCGAGGATTATCTGGAGGCAAAACTCAACGAGAAAGCCGTAGTGGAGTAAAACTTTAACGATTTCAAAATAATAACATAATAGAAAATCAAGAAGACAATTGTGTTTTTATTGATTTAAAATTTTAATTTTATTACTTGAAAAAAGGAAATAATTTTTCAGTCTTGAAGTGCATGCTTTTCGTATGTCACGACTCCAAAGGAAATAAATAAATGCTTGATTCAAAGAATTTCAATTCTTTACAATTCTGTGGAATTCCATATTATTCACTTTTTTTCTAGTAAAGCGTCCACTGACATGAATTTCTTGTGTGTCAACTGTGGTTTAACCTGATTCTTTATTTGAACAGAATATACAAAAGGACAATGACGTCACGTCAATAAAATAGTACAGTCAGCTGTATAACACAAATGAATTACAAAGCTTTAGAAATTTGTATACGAGTTCGGTTTCAAAATATTTAGGCACTAATTTGTTTGTACGTAACTTTAAAACATGTTAATAATGGTCATATTACTAATATTATAAATGCGAAAGTTTAAATGGATGGATGGACGTTTGTTAGAGTTTGTAGTCTAAATGGCTTAACAGATCTCGATGTTTGGCATAGACGTAGAGGATAGTCTGGAAGAACACATAGGCAAAAAACTTTTGTTTTTTTTTAATTTCACGCGGACGCAGTCCCGAGCGAAAGCTAGTTATATTTTAAGTTTTTAAAGTTGGTGAAAAATACAACCTCTTTGGCTGACAAGAAGTATGAATACAGCCAAAGTTGTTTGTTGCATACTGGCCGCCAAGACTTTAGCATGTTTGGTTATTAAAAAGACATCGTAAAAACAAAAGAATAATAGGAAGCGCACAACAAGCGAGATGTGATCGATATTATTTTTCAGTTATTTATTTTAACTATATAAATAAGTTTAAATAAAAGTTGTTTTGTTATAATAGTAAAGTTTGCATTTTTGGCTACCGCGCTGTCGGTAACAAGTGAAAAAAAAGTTTCAAAATTACATCTACACTAATAGTTTAAACGCCCTGTTATTATACATTTTGAAGACAAAAATTAACTGAATTTCAGTTGTTGGTTTAATAATGTTTTATCTATGTTAAATAACTGCTCTACTGTCCATGAATATTAATTGTTTATATTGTGAGAAAGTGTTTTCCGTTGTTCGTTTAACGTTAATGTTAGATTTTCCGATCATTATTGACGCCTCCATTAAGGCGCTGTCAGTCAAAGCGGGCCGTTGTTGTTTACATTAAAAAGTACCTTTTTTTTCCTAAATTAATCACACTTTTTTCACATCTCCGCCCACTTCAGTATCAAAGGGAAAATGTTTTAACTTTCAAAGACAATATCATTTATTTTTGCTTTCAAATTACTATAGAACTCTGGGAAATTAAAATTGTAGCCTGGAATAAAAGAGAACTTCAAACAAGGTTTTTACATTGAAGAATATTCATAAATTTTGATAGTACAAATTTAAAACTTAAAAAGTAGTAGGTTAATATTTTTTTTTCTTTTCTTTTATAATATAAGGCGGCAAACAAGCAAGCGGCCACCTGAATCCACTGAAATGGATAGCGACCGCTGTCCATAAACATCCGCAATTGCAGAAGCGTTGCCTACCCTTAATTGACGGAGGAGAAGACTCACATAAAGAGGACATTTTCCTTCCTATGCGTCTCCTCTACCGTCAAATCCACTTTTCCTCCCATCCTTTCCTCTTAAGAAAAGGGTGGAAAGGGAAAGGGACTAAAATTAGGGTACAAAATGTGGTAGTAAAACTTTTAAGATATAATAAATTCCAGCCTTGTTAAGTCAGTTACACACCTTCACTTTAAACTGAACTATCCAACTGATATATGCATGTATAGACAATTTTTAAACTGAAGGTGTATAGCCGACTTTAGATAATACAAACATGACGAAACGTAACCATTCCATTCTTTTGTTTCAGAATTAAACGCAGTGAAGATAGTGAAGTTAGTAGTGCCAGAAATAATACAATACGGTGTACAAGACGCTGTGATCTTAGACTGTGATTACACGTACGGGAACGACACGTCCGGGCTAGTGGTGAAGTGGTTCTTTAGGAACAAAGCGAGGCCGGTGTACCAATGGATTGTGTCACAGAAGCCGCAGGATATGGGTATATTGAGAGGTCGAGTCGATTTAACCTACAGAGCATCGAACGATCCATTAAAAATGCACAGAGCACTCCGCATAGTGAAACCGAACACAGACATTTCTGGTGATTACACTTGTGTTGTGTCCACTTTCATGGAGGAAGACTCGAGGACCAAGCAAATGGTTGTTTTTGGTGAGTTGTTAACAATGTTTATTACTTTAGATAATATGCAATATCTTACTTCTTACTAATGTAATAAATGCAAAAGTTTAGATATATGTTTGTAAGAGTTTGTAGTCTAAACTGCTAAACTTATTTCGATTAAATTTGGCATAGATGTAGAGGATAGTCTGGAAGAACACATAGGCTACTTACTTATATTTTTTACTTTTACACGGACGGCGTCACAGGCAAAGGCATATTTTAATACCATGTTAAATAGAATACTTACTTCTTCTTAGAAGCTGTTAATGGTGAACATTTATGATATATGGAAAATAATCATACTAATATTATAAATGTGAAAGTTTAGATGGATGGATGCATGTTTGTTAGAGTTTGTAGCCCAAACTGCTAAACGGATCTCAATGAAATTTGGCATCGCATACTTCGTTTTGTTTTTTTTAATACCACGCGAACGGTCGCGGGCTAAAGCTAGTGTTACAATATTAACAAAAAAATATTACAACAACTAAAATGATTATAGAAACAGTAATATATGCCATAATCATATTTTAACTTATATATTTAAAACTAGGACAAGAGTATTTAAATAGCGATGAGCTGTAGGAGGCATCTGTTTTGCCCCGACACGTACCGCGACTGCCACCCGACTTAAGCTTGAGTGCTAAGCAAATGATTCTGTATAGGTCACTGTATAGTTAACTTATGTTATAAATCAAATTGCTGAAGTTGTATTTAATTACTTTATTAACTTACTTAATTTTAAATATAATATAAACAGCGTGTCCAAAACAAACTAAATATGATCGTTTAGCACAAAGCATAAAGAATTCTGAAGACCAAGAAAAGTGTTTGTAACGTAATAAATACCAATCAAATTGAGAACCTTTTTTTGTAGTCGGTTAATAAGTTTAATACTTACGCACATCTTTGACTAAACTATCGCACAAGTGTTGTGTGATTGTCGATTGTTTTGCAGTCTCAACTGCTTAGTTGCACAACTAAAAATTGAGTAGTGGCGCACCTCTATATAAGCTTATAGCAATCAAAACGAGACTATACAGTTGTGCGATCGTTTAATCAAAGATGTTAGCACGCTCTTAATGTTTTTTATGACGTATTCGATGATAGAAAAAATATCCTGATATCTTACAACTTTGTTCATACAAGACATCTTCTTTTCGTGTCTTTTTACGCTTAAAGCATTATTAAAGCTTTCGGGGAAATGAAACAAGCCCAGCTTATCTTCACGGCTGTTCCAATCAAGATTGTTTTTAAATTAGGATCAATATGAAAGAGATTGTCCCTTCGTATGTTTTCAAAATGGAAAAATCTCTTATAATTCTCCATTATCCGAATTTCTACGACTTTCTTTGGCTGTGTAAAGCTTTTTACTTTTGTGACTAAGAATATAGATTTATTCTAGGTTAGATTAATGGATACATTTTGCTGTAATTAATACGGTTGGCAACGTAAAATACTGCATTATTATTTTAAAATACCTTTTGCTATTTTCTGTGTTATTAAATTTCATAAGTAAAAAGTCTATCTAGATTTTTTTTTTGTAGTTTTGTTTGTTTCTATTTTCTCAACATTTAATATCGTTGGAGAAACAAGTTAATATATTTACGATAATACGTTTCAAAGGTCGTTTGGAATTTAATTAAAGCGGATGATAATACTGTAAATGTTAAGTAGAAATTAAGCGAGAAAAAGATATAACTTCCAATTACTATGTTAATGTTATTAAAACGATAGTAAAATGTAAGCGGCGGGAATCCAAGTTAAAATCCATTTAATAGTTACTCGGGTTATCCAATAATACATTTCTTGAGAAGGGTTTAGCGAGGCCTCCATATCGTATTGTAGGCTCGATATGGGTAAACTGTTCGTAGTGTAATTTAGCAAATTGTCTGCCTTTGAATTATATAGAGAATACTATTCTATTCATTCGCCAAAATTTCATCGTGTTCGGGAGCGGTTACGAGTTTTGTTAGAGCTATAAAATCGATCGATTGTTCCAAACTTACAATTTGTTTTGAGATAAGAACGAAGGGATTACGTTCCATTTGTTACTTTTAAACATTTAGGGTGAGTTGCACCATATCGCCGGTTACCGTTAAAGTTAAAATTATCTGTAACGGTAATATTTGGAATAACCTTAAAATTTACTACGGGTGAGTTACATTAACTAACTATAAACCTTAACCAGCACATTCGCGATGGTTACGTCTGCGGATGTTCATGATATTCGCTACACCAGTATTGCGC